GGGAAGAAGGGGGGAGGAGGGTGATGACTGGCCCCTCTTCTTCCCGGCAGAGTGAGAAAGGGTGGTGGCGGCACGCAGTTGCTGTGACAGCGGGATGGGTTATTCCCGCGGCGGCGCTCGCGGCGCGCGTGTGTGCAGGGCGCTTCGGCATTCCTTGGCCTGGCGTCGAATTTGGACCTGCTGGCTGTTCACTGGCACTGAAGCTGGCCAGGACCTCTGACGGGCTGGGGATCGGTGTGTACAGGCACCTGGGTTGCCAGGAAGCTGGATGCCCAGATCTCCGGCGACTCGGCCAAATCCCGCCGGAGGTTCTTCGAAATGTTCAGCGCCTGGAGGCCGTTGGGGGGGCCCTGGTGCCGTTAAAACTGGCTCAGGGTGCATAGTCTGTCGCCGGGAACGGGGTGGATAACCCTGGGGCCTACAAATTGAACAGATCGAGTCGTCGGAGCTCGGGCTAACGCTTTGTGTGGTCGGCCTGTGCGGGAGCTGGATACAAGCGTGGCCGCATGCCTGTCCAGCGATCGGACTTCGCGCGGCTCGGCACCCCCGACCTCCGCGCGGGGAGTCTGGCGCGAGGCGCGCGTTGACCTGGCCGTGCGCGCTTCTGGCCAGCAGGCCCAGGGGCTCCGCACACCGAGTCCCGGGCCTGGCAGGGGCTGTTCGCCCGATCGAATTCACGCGGCGGCCGTCGGCCCTCCTGTAGGCCGGCGGTGCGCCCGACACGGGTGACCCCGGTGGCCCCCCCGTGGCGAAGCCAGGGGAGCCCACCGTGGAGCCCCACCGCCCCCCCCGGACCCTGCTGGAACTCTTGAGCTGCGCGCGGCGCGGGCCTTGGGGAGCCGTGGCGCCGCCTGGCGGCGGGCCCCCGCCCGCCCCAGCCTTCCTCGCGTCCTCCTCGTCCCCACGGGCGCGGCTTCCTTCCTTCTCTCCCCTCTCCATCGCTCCCGCCATGCACCTCCCCCCCGCCCTTTGCCTCCCCTCCCCTCCCCGATGTGGTTCTCGCCCCAGCGCGGGCCACGCTTATGGATCCGAGTGTTTCCTCGTCGTTGTCGGCCCCTGCGTTGCCTCTCCTCCTCATGTTCGTCCTCCTGCTCGTCCACCGCCTCCTTCCCCGATGTACAGAGCCCCCCCCCATTTTCAGATCGCGCGTAACACCACGGGGTCCTTTTGTGTACTCCAGGTCCCCTATGACACCCGTTGCCGGATAGAGAAAATTATCCTGGCGAAGGACCCAACCATTTGCAGTTGTAGGTACCGCAATTGTGAAAATCTTCTTCGGTGAAACTCCCTATGGGGCCACGAAGCGCTGCACTGGGTGGGGGGGAACGCTGTTCTGGGTGAGTGGTGTGTCAAGTAAGGTTTCCGGGGCGCCTGCGGACGGTCCCACTGTGGGCTTCGGTGGAGCTCCCTATGGGGCCACGAAACGCTGTACTGGGTAAGTGAAAATGCCAACTTGGGCTTCCGGGATGGAGCTCATTAAGGCGCCACGAAACGCTGTATTGGGTGGGTAAAAATGCCACGTTGGGTTTTCGGGACGCATGTGGACGGTGGCACTGGGGCCTTCGGTGGAGTTCCCTAGGGGGCCACAAAATTTTGAACTGGGTGGGTGAAAATGCGACAATGGGTGTTTCGGGACGCTTGCGGACGGTCCCACTGGGGCCTTCGGTGGAGCTCCTTGTGGGGCCACGAAGGGCTGCACTGGGTGGGTGAAAATACCACATTGGGTGTGCGGGACGCATGCGGACGGTGGCACTGGGGCCTTCGGTGGAGCTCCCTGCGGGGCCACGAAAAGCTGTAATGGGTGGGTGAAACTGCCAAATTGGGTGTTTTAGGACGCACTCGGACGGTCCCAGTGGGGGCTTCGGTGGAGCTCCCTGTGTGGCCACGAAACGCTGTACTGAGTGGGGGGGACGCATGTGGACGGTCCCACTGGGGCCTTCGGTGGAGCTACCTATGGGGCCACGAAGCGCTGTACTGAGTGGGGGGGACGCATGTGGACGGTGGCACTGGGGCCTTCGGTGGAGCTCCCTATGGGGCCACGAAACGCTGTACGAGTGGGGGGGACGCAAGTGGGACGGTGGCACTGGGGCCTTCGGTTCGGTGGAGCTCCCTAAAATGGGGCCCCAAACCTGTACCTGAGAGGGGGGCACATGTGCCGGTGGCCCTGGGCTCTTACGGTGGAGCTCTCTATGGGCCACGAAACGCGTAACTGGATGGGGGGGACGGCATGTGGACGGTGGCACTGTGGGCCTTCGGAGGAGCTACCTATGGGGCCACGAAAAGCTGTACTGAGTGGGGGGGACGCATGTGGACTGTGGCACGGGGCCATTCGGGGAGCTACCTATGACGCCACGAAGCGCTGTAACTAGAGTGGTGGCCACGCATTGGAGGTGGCACTGGGGCCTTTCGGTGGAACTCTCTATGGGGCCACGATACGCTGTACTGAGTGGGGGGGACGCATGTGGACGGTAGCACAGTGACCTTCGGTGGGGCTCCCTATGGGGCCACGAAACGCTGTACTCAGGTGGGGGGACGCATGTGGACGGTGGCACTGGGGCCTTCGGTGGAGCTCCCTATGGGGCCACGAAACGCTGTACTGAGTGGGGGGGACGCATGTGGACGGTGGCACTGGGGCCTTCGGTGGAGCTCCATGGGCCACGGCCCGCTTACTGAGTGGTGGGACCACTTCTAAGTGGCTAGCCGCCCTGGGCCTTCGTTGGAAGCTCCCTATGGGGCCACGAAGCGCTGTACTGATGGAGGGGAGACGCAGTGGGAGGTGGCACTGGCCTTGGTGGAGCTCCGTATGGGGCCTACGGCGAAACGCTGTACTAGGGTGGGTGAAACTCATGAAAGAGAGGACAGGGAGGAGGGGGGAGGAGGGTGAGCGGGAGGAGGAGGTG